ACCCTGACGCCAGTATGTGTGGAGGTTTGCACGTTCTCACTGTGGTCGTGTCGATTTTTCCCCGGGTCTTCCGGTATTTCCCTCCACATTTAGACACATGCATTTGGAATATTTGGCCGCTATAATTTTCCACGTGTTGAAGTCATTTTGTAGAGCTATCATTTGTGGCAGGTCACTTCTGAAAAAGAGCTATGTAGTTCAGTCGGCCTTACCTGGTAACATAACAATAGTTTCGTTTTTAGTTGAGTTTTACCTACGTGCGGCTAAAACCCAGATGGAAAGCCGGGACCACACTGTTTCTGTACCATTGCCTATGATATTGCCATCATGAGCAGCCTAAACCACCCGGATACCTCTTCATAAAGATTACGGGCGACCACAGGTCGATATTTAAAAGGCAACAGGACGAGAGTGGCTCTGATGTTGGGCACAAGATACTCAAGATAAGGCATGCATCTCAGTGTTGGTAGCAGAAATCCCCGTTTTTTAAATGTTTTCCAGACCGGGTCCAAAGCGTTAATTCATGACCTCTGTCCGGCTGTCTGCGTCTGTCTGTAGGGGCGGAGGAGGTGGTGATCACGATAACAATCCTACACATGGTCCCATGTAAAAGGAATGTGTGTACTGTGTAAAATTGTGTTGCTAGTGGAGACTTACCCTAGGGAAATTCCAGGCAAATTGGTTATCCAAAATCCTGACCATGAACAAAAAAAAAAGTTAAATAGTGCTCGTTGGGGTAAGACTGCCCGGCCAGTGCGATTACGTTGAGATGACGTGACGCACGCACGCCCGTCATGACACCGTCGTGCCGCGACGTGACTTCGCGACGTCACGTGCTCGTCCGCACCGCTGATGGCGTTGTTACATTCGGCATCGTTATTGCTGCCAATTTAAATACATCCGAGGCCATAAAAATGTGGATGAGTTTGAGCTCCGGCCTGTTTCCCTTTTAAGCACAGAGCCTGTTTGAATTCGACAAAACCTTACTACTGCGAGCACTGGCAACCCCAAATCATCATCATCGCCACCGCAATTGATCGTCGTCAATCATCAACAATCATCGTAAAGCAGCAAGGCGTGATTTGATCATCTTTTAAGTCAGTGCTGATAACGGTGTAGTTACAGTTTGTATTTGCGGAGTGTCGACACCGTACAGTAGTCTGTGACTGGGGGGGGGGGGGGGGCGCAGTGTTATTTGGTGAAGGATGGAGGAGAGGTCGGGGCTGTGCTGCATCAGCTGTCCCCAGTTGACCTCTTAGATCAAAGGAACGCAGCCTTGCTCGGTCTCCCCAGTGGGGCAGAGAGAACACGCAGGTGGCAGGAGAGCATTGCTCTGTAGAGCACCTTGCCTGTGGAATGGATGAGCTGCCACGATCTGTACGGGGGAGGCTGACTTTGTTGCTGTTTTGAAGTCTGATTGAGAACATATTTTCGTAAACGCCGTAAGCGTTCGCACTCTCGTCAATTCTGCTCCTCGAATAATGTTACGGGGCGGAACGGTGCGCCTTCGGTTTAATACATTCACAGACGTTCGCGCGCAATTGACCAGGGCGGTCGCTGGGCTCGAACCGCGAACCTCTGCAGCAAGTGACGTTCGCGCTCTGCCGCTAGGCCGTGGCGAAACAACCTTGCATCTGATGCCGGGTTTGGTTGGGATCCGGCAGAAGGATCCGATGATTGGCAGTGTAGTTTCGAAGCTTGGCAGCATCGACAGCGATAAATAAACATTCTGATTCTGATTGTGGAGAGGTGTTTATTTATCGGCCCATGCTCGTGAAACGCGTCTCCGCTAACCTCGCCACAGCTTCGGTCGGAATGCGAGTGCAAAACTCGCAGGAGTTCGCTGCCACACCCCAGCTGAAGACGTTTCGCCCGTTCCTCTTGTGCGTGGGAGGAGGGTCGTGGCTGGGGGGGGGGGGCGGTTGCTGCGTCTCGGCAAGAGCAGGAAGTAAGACATCTGTATCCACGATGGGGGAAGGGGGTCGCCAAGGAGTGGCGATGGTAGCGTGTCACGTGACTCTGCCGGGGTGGTCAAAGGTCACGGTGTGTACGGGGAAATTCTCAGATACAAGACCCTGTCCGTTGTCATGGCCATTGCTCGCGGAAAGAGCATGGGGCGGGGGGATGGGGAGAAATAATAAAACACCAACGCGCGATCCCTTTAAAACGAAAGCTCATTTAAAGTTTTTCTTCCAGATTTTAATTTAGATAAAAGTGCCGAGACCTTTCATTCGTCACGGAGGGGGCAGTTTCTCCCCCCCCCCCTCTCTGCTCTCCGTTTTGGATGTTGGCAGAGTACTGGGTTTAAAAACAAGGTGGGGGGGGGGGGGGGTGATGCTGAACGGTTGGCGCATGTGGAATCTCTTTTACGCGTTTCTTGGCAAAAACATTTTTTTGTTAATAACAAAGGGGAAATGTGATTTTCTAACAACAGGCTTGGTGCGAGCATTGGCCTCCTGCTTGAATAAAGGCCAGCTGTGACTCGGAAAACAATTCATGCAATGAAGATACATTCTGTGTGTGCGCGTGCATGTTCCTCATTATTCGGGGAGTGGTGGTACGATGGTTTGCGCACTGCACGACGAACTCGGCGACTCGTTCGATTCCCACTTGTGACCAACGCTAGTGATGAATATCTGAACCAGGTCCTGGACCTTTCTCAGGTTGACTCGGCCTCAAATGAGTACGTGGTGTGGTGTGTGAACATCACAAATTTGGCTGGGCGTGGTGCTGGCAATACACCACCTCGTGTGCCGTGTTGGCCTTCATAGGTGCTTGCTATAACAGCACTTGTGCCAATAGACTATACGGGGGATCTTTGTCTTGGGTTTGTTCCTAATTATGAAATATGATTCTTACTGCAGTGCCGAAATGTGTTTTTCAGTTATCCGAAAGTTAATGTTTCCACGCTCAAACGAGTGACGGGAAACACTCTTCTCTCCTGATTCCACGGCTCCCACGATCACGAGAGAAGAACACAATTTAGAAAAACGTGGAAATCGGTTGTCATTTTGACGCCTTAATAAATGACCCAGATTTTTGTTGTCCGAAAACTATTTTCTCATTGTTTTGTCACCTGTCATAACCTTCACATGTCAGCGCTTTTTCTCAATTCTACCAAGTTAGACATTTATCTGCATCTTACTATTAAGAAATACATTTCCGTCTGCACATAACCATGATTTCTCTGGAGACCTCTTATATGAATCTCAATAAGCAGTCACTCTGGTTAAATAAAATGAATTGGCTAATTCTGAAATGATGACTGATGGATGGCGTTATGAGTGCAGCGCTCGGTCAGAAGTTTGCGGGTTCAGATCCTGGCCAGGGCTTTAACTCAACCCACCGTTGCTCAAGAGGACGATAAAATGACCACCGCTTAAGAGTGCTGCGTCAGCGCTCGTGTGTGTGTGTGTGTGGTGATGAAGGGTACGCCTCAAAAACCTCAACTTTTAAACCTCGTCCGGAGAACGTGGCTGGCCCTGGTGGACAGAAGGTGTGTGGGTGTTTTATTAAAAAAAAAGGAACGTTGCGACGTGTGACGCCAGGACCCGCACGCCCCTGTAAAGCCACAGATAGAAATCGTGATTTCCTACGCCATGGTCGCTTTTAACATGCGCGCGAATCATCGAGGCGCGAGAGCAGACCCCCGGAATAAAGAAATGGAAAAATAAATCCCATCGCCGAGAAAGGTGCACCGTAGTGATAAGGCGGCGGGGCTTTAGCTGTTGGCTGTGTCATTGTGCACATTAATGTCAAATCGTTCACTCTGGCTGTGCTGTGTTTTCAAAAGAAAAAAAATTACACAAGAAAATGTTCCTTGCGGGCTGTCCTCGAATGACCTTGGCTTTTGTGTGTGTGTGTGTGTGTGCGCGCGCGAGCGTGCGTGTGCGCACGGAGCAAAATTACGATGCTCTGGCTCGTTGCGGATTATGCATTTCTCTGGCAGCGCATTGTATGTAGTATCATCGCGCATCGACTTCTGTGCAACTCCTAACACGGCTGGCAAAATTGTTTTGATTTTACCGGAACGTTTATTTGGTGAATGCACAGCACGCGGTATTTTTTTTGCCATTTCCCTCTCTGGATTCTTAGGATTCTGTAGCTAATTCCTAAGGTTCCGCCGAGTTTGGCGACGCTACCATTTGGGTTTTCTCGGGTTCACAAGACACGCCATTAAATTTGCATTCTGCAGTGACTTTGGCTCAAGTGGTGCTCGCCGCTGTGTGGGGCAGAAATCCTCAGTCACCTTGAAAGGGATCCTCGAGGTGGAGATTGAGGGAACCCTAAAACCTTGGGTCATTGTCCAACAAAAAGCTTTTTATCGTTCTGTAAAGAGATCCAAACTGGCTATACCTTTCAGTTTTGTCGGGTAACCTGCGACGATTGCCACCCATTTGAGTACCGAGCTATAGAGTTGTCAACGTATTTAGTTATTGAACCGTAACATAAACACGTGGAACTTGGTGTGTGCAGTGTTGTAAATGCAATCAGGCGGGGAGAGCGCTGTGAATTAGCTTGGTGGGTGTGAAGTTTGAAGGAGGGTAGATTGCTGATTCAGCAGCAGCCGCCAAACGGCAAGACCTAATGCCACACGGTTAGCTGATGAAACCGTCACAGTTGTTCATAGCGGCGAGGGGTCAACTTTTAACAATTGGAACTTCGAAAGACAGATGGTGGATTTAGGCAGAAGGGTTCTTGAAGGACATGTTGACTGCAGAGCACAGGTAAGTTCACCCAAAGCCAGATGGAGGTGGTGACGAGGCTTTTTACGATTTTCTTAAGAGCAGATTTTAGCGGTCGAGTGTCGGGTCTCCCATCAATCGAGGGATCTGGAAGAAGGAAGGAGGTGATGGCGAGGTGTGGCAGCATCACTGGCATTCGGTGCAATGACCTTTTCATGTTCATGTCGAATTCACCTGCCCCGGCGTATTTCCCTACGTGAGATCTCCATGCTACTTTAACGTCTTCTCGTCCCTGTCGTTGTTTTGACCCTGCAGATTGCTGGCGCAAAAAGCGATGCACGGCAGCTGCACTGAATCGGTCGCCCTCCCGAGCCCGGACCCTCCCCTGGACCTGTCGTTCACGGCCGCCCCCCTCGACTCCTCCGTCCAATCGGAGCACTCTGCCTCGCGCGACGGCCTGCCGCATGAAGGCGCCGCTGCCGCCGCGTCCAATCGCGCGATGGCGGCCGCTCTCCCCTCGCCGGTCGACGGCGGTCAGGAGAAACGGCGCGACGCCACCACCTCCATCTCCGCCGTGGAGGAGATGGAGCTGCAGTGCGACGACGACGCCGGCGGTGGTGCCCAGAACGGAGGAGTGGTGTACGACACCGACGACATTGAGGTAGGGGCGACGCGGCCATCGACGGCCGTGCCGGCGATGCGAGAGCGCCTTCGGCCTCGGTGCCATCGTGCAGGTCGTGGGGTTATTTGAACCGTGCTTTACCATGCTGGGCAGTGTACGAGTGGGTGGGCGGGTACGTAAAGGCGAGGGACATAGATATGGCAACGTAGAAGTACAGCACAACGATGGATCTTGGTGCACTGCTCACAGGTGGCCACCACGTGGCCTCTGCGGCATTCGGCCTAACACAATTCCTGGGCGGCTTCTCTCGTAAGGCAGCGTTCGCGACGTAGCGACGCGTTTCGGGTCCCTGTTTGAAAATGCTTAAAACAAATTCTTTGGTGATGCTGCTGCTGCTTTGGCAGTGGTGCACAAGCACGGTTAACAAACAGTATCTCAACATGTTTGTCAATAACACTGCGGCCTTTAAAATAAAAAGTATACAGTGGGCGAAGACTGCTGGAGGAAGTGCTCTTAGCGATCAGTGCCTATGATGGCACGCACGCGAGGGGGTGGGTGGCCAGCACCATGCCCGGCCGTAGCTGGAAATCGAACCCATGATGTCGGGTTCATACCATGGTGTACTGCACCACCGTGCATTCACTTTAGCACTGAACTGCAATCCTTTGCCTCGATAAATTCCATACAAAAAAAATAACAACTAGTTTATTTTAGACCGTTTTTAATTGAGACTTTTGCATTCTGTGTGGACCAAGCGGCGGTACGAGGAAGGAGGAGTGAAGTTGTGATCAGCAGGTGCAGATGTAGAGATGAGAAGTGCACGCAACTGGGGAGTCATTGTGAAACCAGATGGGCACGCCGTATTCCTCTCCGCCCTGTTGGCTCGCGCTCAGCTCCGTGCTCCACTCTGGAATCCGCTCCGCATTTCGCTCTGTCCTGTTGACTCTCGCTCCGCTCCGTACTCCGCTCCGCATTCTCGGTTTCCCCTCCCCCCCTGAGAGCATTGCCGAGTGTGTGGCATCGCCAGCTGACAGAGCAGCAAGAGATGTAAAATGTTCATGACTCATTAAACCATTGTAACCCCCTGCCCCCAAGTAAACTAAACTCTATACTCAACTGTTTTTTATTTTAACCAGGTAAGACCCACTGAGCTATACAGCTCATTTTCAGAAGTGATCTGGCTACAAATGATAGCTTTACAAAATAACTTCATCACGTGAAAATTTATAGCAGCCAAATATTCTAAATGCATGTGTCTAAATTTGGAGGGAAGACCCGGTAGACCCAGATAAAAATGCACGTGACCACAGGGAGAACATGCAAACTCCTAATATACGGGCGTCAGGGTCAGACTCGAACCCACTACCTCCTGTATAAGTGGGGTGACCATTTGATAAAAATTCTTACGTGGCTCTATGTGAGGCTCACAATTCACCTGATTTGGTAGCCTTGCTGTGTCCGGAAGGCAACACTGGATTTTATATCTCGATAAACGATTGATTCTCGGAGAGCAACGAGGCTCGCAAGAGTTGTGCAAAGTTCATTCACTATGCGATGAGAAATCGACCGTGGACAAGAAACATTTTATGCGATTCATTTTCTTGGTTCTTTCGGTAAAGTCACTTAGAAGGGAAAGAATATGAATCCCTGCAGTCACGAAAGCTTTAAATCAAAATTTTTGCGATTGTTTGTGTGCACTATTCGCACATTTGGGCGCGGGTTTTAAGTAATAGAATCCTAATTTAGAAATTGTACGAACTCACCGACATCTTATGGTGAGTATCGTTGACGTGCCGTGGAGTATGCAATTCGATTTGGCTGCAGGGTCCCAGTTTTAGAAGCCCTCCCGAGTTCAAATGTTCTGGTCACGGTCAACTCAATACTTAATTGTCATCATCAATCATGGTCTGGGACTTAACCTTGCATAGCCCCTGTCTAAACACTGTAGAGGCTTACAAGTTAAACATTCTATTTATTTGCTATGTAGTGGCAGGGGACAACTAAAATCACTTAACTTGTATGATGCAACCAGTGACAAACATTTTGTGAGGGGCTGCAGGTGGTCACATCCAAAAGATTGCGAATGAAAGATCAACGCAGCAGCCGATCATCCTACTTGGGTCAATAAAATGAATAGGTCGTTGTGGGAAATCGACGTTGTTGGTCCTGTGTAAGGTCTGGTCTCTTGTCGGCATGTTCACCACCATGTATGTGTCTTGGAACTTCTTTCACACCGTACGTAGCCAACGTGTTAATCGGCGGTGCTGTCGTAACCTTCCCACTGTTTACCTCGAGTGCTCTTGCGCAGAGTCGCCCGCCTGACTCTCACTCTCATCCCCCCCCCCCCCCCCCCCCCGTAAACATCCTTCGCCTCCTCTCTTCCCGTTTCTCCTTGTGCTGCCACGCGCGCAGGACCAGCAGCCACACTCCGGCGCGCCGACTCCCTTCGACAATCCCTTCAGCGCCCCCTCCTTCCCGCAACTGTCACCCGCCTACTGCTCCGTCATCCACCACCCGCTCGCTCCCAGCGGCTCCGGATCGCCCGGCTCGCTCGGCGACGAGAGCCCCCGCGGCCTCGCCCACGAGCACCCCACCGAGGACGCCGCGCCGCCGGAGCACCCCACCCGGTCGCTCATCTACCCCGAGCAGATGTTCCGCTCGTCGAGGGCGACCTTCGAGTACGTCAACGGCGACCTGTCCGCACAGTCCTCAGAACTGTCCGACCGCGGCTCGCCCGACGTGCAGCTCATTTCCGCCACGGGCGAGCGGCCGCGCGCCTTGGATTACTCGTCGTCCGCGGACATGTCGTCGCGCCAGCCGGGCGCAGGCGCGTCGTACCTACCGCCGACGTACTGCCAGAGCGCGCCCTACTTCACCTACGGCTCGTACTTCAGTGGCATGGGCGGTAGTGGCGGCAGCAACAACGGCGGCCCTCTGAACCTGTCGTACCAAGGGCACGGAGCCGAGTCGGGACTCTCGCCTGCGATCGCGGGCAGCTCCGGAGCGCCGGCGATTTCGACGAACGGGAATGCGTACAGCTCCAGCTCGGGGTTTGACGTGATGGGCCAGCTGGGATTTGGCTGCGGCGGTGACATGGCGGCCCAGTCGAGCTACCTGGGACAGAACGCCATGGGCGGCGGCTGCCACATGCAGTCGACGGCGAATGCGGACCCGCTAGGCCTTGACGATTTGGAAGACATCGACTTGGACGGGCTGCAGGAATTCCTGCAAGAAGGAACGTTTGGACAGGTAAGCTGCGGCGGGGGAGGGGGGGGGCATGCACACCGGGAGAACCGGAGTTTGCTCGTTTGCTCACAGACGATGGTTTGACCAGGAACAGCGATGGTGGTGGTCAATCATCGTCAATGGATCGTTTCCTGTGTTTGGTGTTCATGCCCTTCTTATAGTGGAAAGGCTAAGGTGCTGCATTTCACAGATAGGTAGTCTGCCAGTAAGGGGTCATCCGTGTTGTTGGTTTACCATATTGAATTTTTTAGACCGAGTCACCAGTACACATCGGCTATCTCATTTTTTTATATCACGGGACGTAGACGGCACGTGTTTCTGGTTAACCCTTTCCCATTTTGAGACGTCTGCAAGTTGCAGGGTGGGGGGGGGAGTATCCCGTTCACCGCTGAATCTCAGAACGCACAATTTTATGGAGATAGGTGTAGCGCTGTTGTTTTTAAAGACATTACTCACCGCAGAGAACTGTACCGACACGACCGCACTCTACGCTAGCTGACGCCAAACTGTGCCACACGCCCACCCCCGCATGGCTTTGTGGGAGCCTTGGGTACGCCTTCCAACCTGAAGACGTATCGATATAGAAAAACAGATGACGTACACGAACGTCATCGGAATGTGAAAGGGTTAATGCGCACCCCGCGTTATTAACCAGGGCGGCCGCCGGACTTGAACCGTGAACTTCTGCACTCCGGCTCAGCCAGGTCACCGCGTCCTCACGCGTGTGTATTAGCAACCGGCCCGACGGCTCCCCTTCGAGAGCCGCATGACACCGTGAAGTGAACACAGTCGGTGCAATCGCCACGAGCAGCCGGCGAGTGCTCACCTCCGCTAGCGTCCTCGAGTCGATCGGTGAAGGTCCACGTTCCCGTGGACAGGGTCAGTTTCTCCATGTACGGCAACCACTTCGGAGCTCCCACAAAGCGGTGGACCGGTTAAACCGTTATACGGTTATAATAACAGTCGTGTTTTTTTGTTAGTTCGTTGTCCTTCCACCCCCCCCCACCTCCGATTTAGCACGGTTGACTACGGGCGATGTGAAATCAGTTCAACATACGTACATGTTGACTTGAAAAAACGACTCTGTAGAGAATTTAGACAAACGGCAGCGCAAAGTGTATTTATGGAGCGCCATCTAAATGGTCCACATGTGACCGCATCTCCAGACGCTCTACATGAACAGTGGGCAGTGTTTGTTTTGTGGAGAGAAGGAAGCAGAGAGAGACGGTCTTGGGCAGAGGGGAGGGAGGGAGCTCTTGTGCCTGGACTTGAATGCCATTTGAAGCTGTGTGACTCGCGTTGTGGTCCGAGTGTGAAACTGGTTATGTCGGCCAGGCCGGTTTGTGCACTTGCCACACAATCACAAGGGTCACGAGTTCAAACCCCATCAGTCAAATCAGTACCATTTTGCGCGCATTCATCCGTGGGCATGAAGAGACATGGCTTCTGCTACTGGAATGTGGAATTTTTACTCTTTCCTCAGTGCCCCCTAACAGATGAGGCCCAGCCCTCGCTCTCATAAGCAGGACGACGTAACGACGACTCGTAAGAGTCCCAATGTGTAAACTTTCTGGTGCGTCCTAACACTAATGTATCATTAAACACATTAAAGCCCTTTGGCAATCCACTGCTGGATGAAGGCCTCCCTATGCAGTGTCATTCACGGGGTCTGTTTGAATATCATCACGCTGGTCAGTGTGTCCTTGGTGGTTAAGGTTGGATATCCCAGGAGTGGCTCGGATATCACTCGCCACTGATGTTGGCCGCTGCCAGATTTTTAGCCTGGTGTGCTCACTGCTTCACCCCAAACACTAATATAATCATGCTAAATAAAGAGAATGATGTAATACTCTTAGTTTTTTCGGTAAAGTCACGTAAGTAAAAAATGAAATTAAAATTAATAAAAATATTAAGTAAAAAATGAAATAAAAATTAATAAAAATATTTATTTTAATTTCATTTTTTACCTACGTGACTTTCCCGAAAAAACTAAGAGTATGAATCCTTGCAGTTACGAAAGCTTCAAATCTAGAATGAAGAATGATGTAAGTTTGTTTGAAATTGTAGCTGACTTTATAGCGATTGGATTATCGACTGTTTGCAGCCATTGCTGCAATGCCACAGTCGTCATAGACAACGGAGGTGATAAGTCAGAAGAGGGCCCTGTGAGCGCCGACCTTGCCGTGCGCGTGTCGACTGTAGAACAGCTGCTGGATCTGGCGGAAGGAAGTGACGTCGACCTGTGGCGGCATCATTGGCATGGGTCGTCGTGACCTCTTGGCCTTTGATAAATGTTCACGTGACCTCTTGGTCAAAGTGGTTTCCTCTTGCCAATGAGAAATGGGGCGGTGCCGCTTTGTGGTGATAATTCCACGTTGCCATGCCGGACTATATCTTACGCCGAGAGTAACAAACGCTTTAACACTCCACGAGCCTCGCTTTGCCAGTGTGTTCATTTGGCAGTCTTACCAAAGTGTTTCCTTTCTGCACAACGTGAATCTGAATTATGACGCGCGTATATTCTTGTTCGTTTAAAGAGCTTGTAAGAAACACGAGTGCGTCATGCAGCTTTCTAATTTTGCATTCGCCGAAATTACAAAAACTGCGAAAATCCTTTGGAGCCTTGCTCACGTTCATAAGCGGCTGTTTGTTTCTCCGTGTGTATATTTCTTGTTATTCCCGTTGCCTTCCTTACATGGCTCTTGATTTTGGTCACAAGGGGACCTTGTTTTCCACAATTGAGGTTATTTTTCTTGGGTTAGATCGCGCAAATATAGTCTCGTCGTAAAACCCACCACCACCACCTGACGCAGCCAATTAGTAATGTTTGTCGCATGAAACAAAACATTGCCAACTCGTTACTAGTTGGGCGCACGGGTGTGTTGGTGAGTGAACCCACACAACGCATTTACAATGTGTTGGGTGGCTTTACAAGGGCACCTCTTTTGTGTTGGGGCAAATAGGGCAGCAGACACCGTGCGAGTCGACGTGCGACAGCCGGTGCAGGGGACACGTGGAGCCTCTTGTTTACACGGAAGCATTGGCTTTGTTTTGAGGGTAAAACATTTGACTCCTCAAGTTTGGTGATGGAGCAAAAAAAATAGAACTGGGAGCCGTTCTCGCCGTGATGTCACGGCGCGTGGGTCGATGTCCTTTTCGTATCCGGCGGTCCCTCGGTTAACGATGTTAATTGGTTCCACGAAAACCATCGTTAATTTAAATGATCGTTCGTCGAATATAGGAAATCCGATCGGAAGTTTATCTTTTTCACCCCAAAAGCATAGTTTATAATATTCCAGCACGTAATTTGAATAAATAAACGTGATAAGAACGTATTGAAGCATTAATATGAATAGAGACATGGATAAATAATGAATACATTATTGAGCATGAAAAGGTGCACAAATAGAGTGTAAAATAAAAATTCTTACCCGAGGCAAAGAAGATGGATGCCTCAAGGGGTTGATGGAGAAGTTGGGGTGGGAGAAAAATGTTTTCCTCCATAAGCAACGCAACATCAGTCCCTCGCCCGTCCAGGATTTCACCTATTAACGCTCTCACCTGATTTCAATCTCTCACCTGGTTCAAGCTCTCACCTGTTGAGGTTGTTCAGGCTAGGGTATGAAGGAATTTGATCACTGTCTTTGCACTTTCGAGTTCTCGATCGGATATTATGTCCGATTCGTGACATATGCGCGCGTTATAAATTGCATAGTGGGTGGTGGCATGGACTAGAGTAACAAGTTATTCCGAAGGTAGAAAGCCTTATTTATGCAGGGATAATAATAATTATATCGCTCCTGAAGGGATGATGGGTTGATTAAGTAGTCCGCAACCACCCCACTTAATGTTTTATTTAATTTTCCGCACGTGGTTTTTGTCTTCCCCGCATTGAAATGATTTTCCACTCGTGCTCCTGGCATTGCGGCGACATTACGTTAAGCTCCGTTTGGAACTCTCGCAGTCAGCAGTGATCATGGGCCCTCCTTTGCCAGTACCAAAATATGAAAATAGACTTTCCCCTTTTTATGGCAACAAAACAGGTGTTAAGATGTTAAAACGCCAAACAAAGACAATACATATATTATCAGAGTGTTTTTTGTTTGCATTCTGTCCACAAGTATTGTGGTTAATGCAGACATGATTCCTTGTAAAAGGTTTCAGTTTGGTGTTTTAACATCTTAACACAGCTGTTTTGTTGCCAAAAAAAGGGTAAAACCTATTCTCAGTCAGCAATGAATCGCCTCGTGGCAGTGAACTCCACCTGAGGATATGTCATGTCAGCTACTTCTGGAGACGATCCAATAAGGCCTCTCTATTCCACACTGGTCGGTGAACCTTGGAGGAAAATACGCCCTGCGTGAGAGTGTTTGTGTTCATTGGCTGGCAATCAGATGGAAGATTTAGCACGGTAGGCTTGTTGACATTGTTCTCACGGGCCTTTGAACAAATTACCGGAATGCGCCTGTTCTTGTCAGATCTCTCCAGCTGAGCAGCGTTGAGTCTGGATATTTTAACACGTAGGCTTTCGCGACCAATATCATCCTTAAAGAGGTATTTTGGGTTAGATCGCGTGAGTGTTTGGATGTGCGACCACCCTGCGTGTAATACAGATGTTGTAGGCAGCTGCAGGACTACGTTGTGAGTGGCAGTTGGTGGCGCAGCAGTCGTCTATCGTTGTACTGCATTTCCGTGCTCCCGTGTCGACGAGTGGCCTACATTCACCAACCCGCGCTAACCAGCGTGGTGAAGTACGGCCAAATTACCCTCCCCACCCCCCCGGAGCCTACACAGCGTGGCCAGTCCCTCATCTAGCAGTGGATGGACAAAACGGGCTGTGATTGTTCACATGTTACAACACCGTCGAGTTAAGAGTGATGCGATGCTGTCATACGGTAAAATCGGACGTGCAACCAAATCACCTATCGGCTCTCAAGCCACGATCGACCATAATTGGAAGAAAATAGGCGTGGCGTTGCCTGTACTGGGCATGTCTTTGCCCG